GAAGAAAAGAAGGAGGGAGGAAGTGCTTTGTCTTATTAGATCAGCACCCTTGTGTGGTAAAAGGAGACCATATTTTGGAATCTGCTCTGTCTTGGTTCTATCCAGTCTCTTCTACATACTGTTTAATACTGGAGTGACCTTGGGCAAGTTAACGAATCTCTCTAGCATCCCAGTTTCCTTACTTCATCATCTGTAAATAACATATATAATCATTGTCCCCACAGGCTTTTGCAAATATTAAAAGACAGAACAGAGTAGAGTGATTAACACATAGAAATCCCACAGTCAATCCTAGTCCCGATTTCTCTTCCCTTATTCTCTTTCTTACTCTCAATGTAGCCCTTCAGATGTTTTTGTTTTAAAAGTCTTATTTTCCTTGGTATTTTCTAAAAGCCTCAGCACTTCCTGAATGTCAGTGTTTTCATGCTATTTTTTTCAGTAAGGTGCTATCCCTTTGTACTGCCTGGGATAGGATCTCCCCCTCCTTTATTGTCAAATATTCTTTTAAACTCTGAACTCCTGGGAGAACTCCCTATGCAACCACGCAGGTGTGACAATGACTGCCCTTTTCTTCCCCGCCAGGACCATTTATGATTGTATTGTTAACATTTTATTTTTGACAGCCTCCCATCATTCTGGATCTGTCATTCATTTTATTGCTCTGGCAATAAAATAGAACCTATCTTTTTTATGAACTTTATGAAATTGATATCCTTAAAGTTCACAGAAGTCGTCTTTAAAGTTTCTTGATCATGTGTAACTATAAATTAAAACACTTTATATATATGTCTCCCCCAGGTATACCAATATTGATCTTTTAATTATGTGCATGTGTTACAGTAAAGATAACAATAGAAAGCCCAGAACTATTTAATAAATGTTTCTCTTCTCCCTTCCTCCCTGTCTCTCTCTCTATATATATATCTATATATTTATACATGCATACAGACACACTATATATACCTATACACATGCATAGACAGATCTATGTGTATATATATATTTAGAAATTCATATATATATCTTAAGATATACAAAAATAGAAATCAAAAGGATGCATTGAAAAAATAAACATAGACTGATTGTTGGATCTAACTCAGCCACTTATCTTGTGCCAAAATATTTTGAAACATCATTTTTATTTTTGGATCCCTATAAAGACCTGCTATACCCAGTTTTGCCAGGGGATTTGGTTTGGAGAGAGGTTGACAAGCTTTGTGATTTATAAAACTAAAAGAAATGCTGATCAAATAATTAAAGCTTTGGAAGTTTCAAGTGCTACTTCTAATGGTCATAATTAAACTGCCTTACCTTGGAATTCACATGAAATAAAACTTCTCAATAGCTATGTATTTGCCCAACTGCATCAGAAGAATTGTGGGAGGAAATTGTTTCACATGCTTAGGCACGGGGAGACATAGAGTGTGTGGTGCAGCTTTAGAAGACATATTTTTGTTCTGCAATATTACTCAGATTCTTCTCGCTCTGACCCATGTGTCTATCACATGGTTGGCATTTGCTCACTCATGTTGTATCCCATTATTTAAGATGTAATGAGAGTCTTATTGAACCATCCCATCTTTGGAAAGCCTGAAGAATTAGGTGAACATAACGAATATCTTACCCCTTAGTAGTTAATTAGAATCCAATGAATTCACTGGTGTTCTACATGTATTTGGTAAACAACTGCATTCGTTTCCTAGAGCTGCCCTACAACTTACCACAAACTGGGTGCTTTACAACAAGAGAAAATTATCCTCTTTAACAGTTCTGGAGTCCAGAAGTCTGAAATCAAGGTGTCAGTGGGGCCACATTCCCTCTGGAAGTTCAAGGGAAGAAACTGCCTTTTGTTTTTTAGCTGCTTGTGGCACATGGCAAGCTTTGGCATTGCTTGTAGCTGCATCACTCCACTCTCTGCCTCTGTCTTCACGTGGGCTTCTTCCCTGTGTGTCCTCTCCCCTTCTTAAAAGGACACCAGCCATTGGATTCGGGGCCCACACTAATTCAGGACGACCCCATCTTAACTTGGTTACATGTGCAAAACCCTATTTGCAAACAAGGTCACAATCACAAGTACCAGTAGTTAGGAGTTGAACATATATTAATATTTGGGGTGGAAAACACAATTCAAGCCACTATAACAACTAACTAAAAACTTAAAGATAATAGTTCAAAACTCCATTCCATACCCCAGTGTATCATCCCACATTCTCTCTAGAGCAAGGACAAACCTCTTTGAAGAACACTTGTCTAGAGTCCAGGCCTGCCGAGGTTCCTCATTCCTTCCTTTATCTATCAGTAAATCCTCAGCAATTTGGGTCACTTTTTCCCAAGCTTTGTGCCACTTGTGTTTCTTCATCCCATTCTTCCTTGATGGTCAGCACTACTAAGCCTATATTCCACTATTGGGGGATTTTCTGTAAGATAAAATCATCGTGAATTACCATACTCTCCTGCATATGTTGCTCCCACATCTCCAATATCTTCTTGGATATTACAAAAGAAATGTTGGTATACAAAGCGATGGTTTTATAGTCAATCCTTGAACTAAGATACATCCCCACTTAAGCCACCTGTTCTGCCTCTATAAAGTTTAAAATGACTAAGTCTATCAACCAGGATTTCTTAAAAATGCATATTGCCAAATAACTGGTACAAAAGAATTAGTAGTTATTTAGGGTTCTGTAGACACAGTCTGGGAGGAGTATCCATGAGCAGTCGCTTTATAAACATTGTACTATAACTATTGGGTTTGGGGTTGACCCTCTGGGTATCTTGGCACTAACATAACACTGCTTCTAAAGTATCTTGTTTTTCCTGCAATTTTAGGTGGGGACATGTTCTCCTCGGTCAGATGAATCAAGATCAAGTCAGGAAACCTAACTATTCCCCCACATCACCCCCTAACACACCCACACAGACACAGAAGGGCTTTGACAGAAGATCTCAGCTTCTCTGTTTCCTTCCATTAGGGAAGGTAGGATTTAACCATGGGCGGAGAGTAGGAGTGGGCGTGAAAAGTGAGCGTGAAGGGGCTATATTATCATACCTAGTATTCTGAAGAAGAGCCTTGGTAGAGACCCCACAGCAAAAATAAACAGATTGTTCTTCACAACCACAGCAGAAACCATTGAGTTCTTAGCTGTGACTAACCTGATCCATATATGCATCCATAAATACACTCACACATACCTCAGAGTACTCAATTTGCCCTTTAAGTTTTCCATTAATTACTTCAGGCGTCAAGATGGCAGGTTTCATTTGGCAAAATGTGTAGGTATGTCTCTCCCTGACTTATTTACAGGCTGAGCTCTCAGCCTTTCTATGATTCCAGCAAGGTTCGGACCTCTCCTAAGGAGCTTATTGTCTCCACATCTAGTTTCCTAGGAATCTGTCTTTAAGTATCACAAATGTGGTGAACTACTGGATGTAGTCATCATAGAAGGAAAATTTTAAAACACAACAGTTTTATGAGTCAGTTAGATGAGTTGAAAAAGGATCAAATGACATAATTGTAATTGATCTTTTTAAATGTATAGTTACGTTTTCCTCTTTATTTGGTCCCAGTAGAATCTAGAACTTGAATGATTGGCGTCACAGAATCTGACATTGCATTAAAGCCTACCCAGGTCACTATTGGCAATAACAGGGTGGGAGTGGAGCTGGAGGACTTTACATCATTCATTAATTTCTGAAATTAAAAAAAAAAAGCCTAATAATCAAGAAAATTAAAATAAAAATATTTCACGATATTTTAACCTCAAATATTTAAATATTAAGGATTGGAAAAGGTGTACTAAAATTAACACTTTCATACTTTGTAGGTGAGGAAGTATTTGGTACACTTTCTGAAAGACATTTTAGCAATAAGTTTTGAGAACCTTAAATACATTACTATGCTTTAGCCTGGTGAGCCTACCTCTAGTTTATTCTAAGGAAATAATTGTAGATAGGGCATAAACATGTATTGCAAGAATGTCCTTTATAGCATTTCTGCTGGAAAAAAGTAAGTTTTTGTTATTACAAATAATATGTTATTATAAAAATATAAATATTCAACAATAGGGAATTATTAAATAGTGCTATATTCATGTAATGCCATTGAAAACTACATTTTCAAGAATTATGATATAAGATATCATGTATATCCTATATATATCCTGTATATCATATATATCCTATATATATTCATAGCACTTGCTTCTGTTGAGTAAAAGAAGGAAGATATGAAGCAATACTTAAGCATCATTTTGCTAAACATTTACATCTACAAATACACAGAGAGAAAAAATAGAAGAGAAATAGTCTATGATGTAAGCAGAAAGAATCTTTACTGTCATTATGAATTATTTCATTTTTTTATTTGTCCCTATTTTTCAATTTTTCTACAATATGTAACATTTTTATGATCAGAAGAAATATATGTATGATTGAAAATGACTAATAAAATCCTACAAATATGACTCCTTCAGATTAGTCATCCAAGATATGTTATATTAATATTACTTATCCTCTCACTGTAATTGCATGAGCCTTCATCTGAGGCCTCTTAGAATCAATCACATCTGTTAGCTATTTTACGTGTCAGTCTGAGATTTTTGCTCAGCCAATCCTTCCACGACTGAGATCGTTTTGGTACTTTAATGATGACTCATAAAGTGTCTCTGTTACTTAGAGCCATTTTCTGTCATTGGTGTTGGTAAAACTTCCGCCTTGCCCCTCAAAAGTGCTTTGATTAACCAGAAGTACCATTTACTTTTATAATTTTTAGATCAAGAAATTATAGCTATTAAACCCTTCTAATGAATAAACAAGGCTTTCAGTTGCCTCTACCAATATTAATATCATCCAAATAAATAGACATGAACATACATAAGATGCCGAACACACTCTCACCCTCACAAAGCATGCGTGTGTTAAGGATGGCTTGGATGTATGTGAATAGCTAACCAGCCTTGCGAGCTGATGTGTTTGTTTTTTGTTTGTTTTTTGCTATACAGACAGAGCTATGACATTCAGATCGTGGCACTGGTGAACCAAACAGGCTTCAGATCTGAGAGCATCCTCGACTTAAAGAATCCATTCTTTCGGTAAGAAATGCTCCCCCCCCACACACACTTCACACTTATGTCTACAAAATCTCCATTGCCCCGAGGACCAAGTTAAAGAGATTCAGAGTAATTTCATCTTTCCTAAAAGGAGAAGAAGTATCTACTAGTTATCTTCCTCTCTATGGAGACTTGAAGTCTGATACGGAGTGGAATGTTTTATAATCTATTAAATGGAATTCAATATAAATGTAACAATCTGATAGTGAAACAGAGAGCTCGGGAGAGTCCTACAAAGGAAGCCTTCACATCCTCCAGCTCCAAGTGGGCTCAGTCTTCCAGCTGGGCTGTGATGAGCAGCGTGACCCCAGGCAAAGTCACATTTTCTCTTTCTGGCATTCGGTTTTCTCATCTGCAAAATGTGGAGTTTAAAAATGATCTCCTTTGACTTTCATTCACTAAGGAACGACTTTAGGTGGCAGTTAGTTCAATCCACCTAAAACATGAGTCCATTTGAATTACGTTGTTTGAGCCTCATCCAATGTGTAGATCATGTAAGCCAAGACATGCCTCTCTTTAGAAGCTATGCAGATTTTGCCTGAGACAAAGAACTTGCCACAATAAGATGAGTACAACAAATGTTTCCAGAAAAAAAACTCCCCATCTTTACACCTATTCAATATTAGCCAATTAAAAATCCACACATGAAATCAACTACACAAATAAAACTACTGGACACTGTCATTCTTGATTTCCTTATTTAAAAAAAAAAAAAAGACACATTTTCCTCATTTATATAATGTCTCCCTAAGGCTTTTATTCAAAGCATTAGGTGTCTATAGTATTGAAAATCTTGAAGAGAAGAGGAAACTGAGGAAACCAAACCAAGAATTCTTTAGCAGAGATAAGAAAATGAGATTTTGACCTTGAAGTAGAGGAAAAAGACAGGCAAAGCTACAATGGTATATGCTGTGTGCAAGTTGTCACACATGGTAGGGATCTTTGAAACCCATTGCCCATTAGCAATATGGATCCCTTCTTTAATTTTGAGGGAAGGGAGGAGCCATTCTCGTCCCACCTTCACATGATTATGCCATGTAGAGCAAAGGACACAGAGGGTAGGCTGCCTACTCACTAGCATGCTGACCCACTCGGGACAATTTATTTAAGCTGCCAGCCTAGACCTTAGTGTTTTCATCTGTAAAGTGGGATAACAAACACATACCTCACCAGGAGTGCAAGGATTTACATAATGTGTCCACGTACTTAACAGTTCACATAATTGGTTCTAAAAAATGCTCATTTCCTTTCTTTCTCCATTTTTTTCTGTTCTGTGCTCTCCAGCTCTTTCAATAAGGTAAACAGATGATTTGTTGTGTATTCCAAACAGAACCATTTTGATTTTGAAAAAGAATATGAATATTTGGAAGGGTCTGGGTCTGGGTATAACAGAGAATGAGATCGCTACAAACTCCCTGGTTTCATGGTTCCAGAGAGTCTTATCAGATACCAAAAAAGCAGACAAATAATTTCAGTTAGTGGTAAGTTTTCTGAAAAAGATAAACTGAGTAATATCTACCTGATCGCAAGACTTACCATAAAGCTACAGTAATCAAGACTGTGCAGTACTGATGAAAGGATAGACTTGTAGGTCAGTGGAATAAGATGTAGGTCAGAAACAGACCCTAACATATAAAGTCAATTGATTTTTGGGAAAGTTGCAAAGAAAAGTCAATGGAGAAGTGATAATCCTTCAGAACTGGTCCTGAACTAATTGGATATCGGTAGCAATAAAAAGAATGAACCTTAATGCATATCTCATACCATCTAAAAGAAATAACTTAAAAGACATCATAGATTAAAATGTACAACCTAAAAACATAAAACGTCTAGGGTAAAACATAGAATCTTTTCAGCCTTAGGTTAAACAAAGATTTCTTAGATACCCCAAAAATTCAAAAGAAAGAAATGACAAATTTATACTTCACCAAAATTAAGAACTTGTAATCTTTGAAAGATACATTAAAAGAATGGAAAGACAAGTCATATATTTGGAAATCAAAAACCTTAAAAAAAATATCTGTTTTATAAAAAGAACTTGTGATATAATACTCTCAAAAAAGTCCAATAATAAAAAAAACTCAGTGATTAAAAAGAAAAAGCAAAAGATTTGCTTCACCAAAAAAGACACAATAGCAAATAAGGATGTGAAAAGATGTACAGTATCATTAGTCATTAGGAAAATGCAAATTAAAACCATAATAAGATACCACAATTAGAATATCTAAAATAAAGGAATCTGGCGATACTAAGTGCTCACAAAGATGCAAAGCTACTGGAACTCTCATTCATTGCTGATGGGAATACAAAATAGTACAGCCACTTTGGAAAACAGTTTGACAGTTTCTTACGCAGTTAAACATTCACTTACCTCGTGACCCAGCAATCTCATTCCTAGGTATTTACCCAAGTGAAATGAAAACTTGCATTTATACTAAAAACTATATTTGAATGTTTATTGCACCCTTATTGGTAATCACTAAAAACTGAAAACAACTAAAATATCTTTCAAATGGAGAATGAATAAACTATATTTCATCCATACAATGGAATAATACTCAGCAATTAAAAGGAATGAAGTACTAATACATATAACAATATGAATGAGTCTCAAATACATTATACTTAGTGAAAGAAGCCAGATTCACAAGGCTACATACTATATGATTCCATTTATGACATTCTGGGGAAAGCAACATTATACATACAGAAAACATATCAGAGCTGGGGTGAGGGGAAGGATTGGTTATAAGGGAGTATAGGAAAAGTTGGACAGTGATGATGGAACTTTTATATATCTTAAATGTAGTGGTGCCAAAACATGGCTGTATGCTTTGTCAAAACTCAAATAACTGTATACTAAAAAGGGTAAAGTTTACTATATGTAGACAATTTTTTAATTACATAAAAACTTACAAAGATTAGAAAGGGCCTACATAAAAGAGTTACAGAAAAACAGCAGAGCGATATGCTAGAAATTGGCAAGGCCAGGAATTGGAGGTGAGTGTTATTTACATTGAGTCTCCTTGGGACCTCTCCAAAGAGGTGGCATCTGAATAGATATCTAAATGTCAGGAAGGAGCCAGCAAGGGCAGATGTGTGAGCAGAGCTTTCCTGCAGAGAACAGCAAAGGGAGGGGCCTGAGGCAAAATGAGTCTACTGAGTAGCAAAAAATACGTCAGTGCTCAGTCTTTGCTATAAACCTATTGAAAAGAAAAAGTTCTTTCAGGGAACAAAAATCTGGATCATCGTCTGAGATCTGAATTTAGGCTATGCATAATCAAACTTACTAAATATAGTGGGTAAATATAGACTTAAGGCTGCCCACAAAAACTCCAGGGAAAGGAATGGGAGTGGGAATGGGGAAGGGGGAGGAAGGGGAAGAAGAGGACGTGAAAGCAAAACTTGCTTATAGCTTTGGATCTGGCTAGAACTTATTTCAGTGTCACGGAATCACCTTCTCTGTTTTAGGTTTTCTTAGAAGACAGTGACGAGCCAAGCAATAAGAAAAATGAAGGCCTGGGAAGTTCATCGCCATCCAAGGTCATATATACTTCATGATCTATGCATTCTAAACTTCACAAGGATATTTAGGTTCATTTCCTTTTTCTTTCCTAACTCTAAAATTTGTGTCCTAATGTTATTGACAAGTCTATTTCTTGTCGCTTGTTGCATTGGCTCTTTATAGCTTTTTGCATGTGCCTGGAGAACAAATGTCTTTTCATCTTTGGTTTCTCTTTATTATTCTAGCAATGCAAACAGCATTGCTTTCATTTTTGAAGTGTTTTAAAAGAAATTTCACAAAACCCTACCTCATATTTCTACATATGTAATATGTATGGCTGATATAAGAGCATGTTAGCAATCATCCTCTATTTGCAATTTTAATCTGACTATTTCTGCAAATATTTTCAACAAATCAACAGCTAAGTTCCTAGCTCAGCAATGTGTTCAGAATTTTTGCCTTATTCATGTCATGGAATAATATGATGTCACGAATGCTCTTCATTGTCAAGAGTCGATGAGTCTGTGTGTAATTAAGGAAATAAAGATGGAGCCTTTGTCAGTTCTCTTAGGTTTACAATAAAAAACATGCAGCGTGAGATAGCAGTGAGGCCCCTCCTTTGCTTTGAGACATTTGTTATATGTCACACGTCAAATGGTGATGAAAGATGATCTCTCAAAAGAGCAGGTTTTCCCCTGGCCCAAACAACTCTTATAAAAATGGATGTCACATCAGCACAACAATCTAATGAAGCCCACCAGGCAACCTGCTCACTCTGTAGGGAGAAGTGGAATAAACAGCAGCTACATATTCTCATCCGTCAGGCAGTCACCCAGAGCTTTCAGCTTTCCACTCTGGTGCTTCTGCTCTTTCTGGCCACTCAGTCTGAAATAGTCTTCCCCTTCTGTCCACATGAGCAGTCTCACTCACATCACCGCAACGCTCAGCTCCAGTACCTCCTCACCAGCATGCCTTGACCACCTTCTACACTTGCTGAAAGTACCCCTTCCCACCTTTGACATGTCCTCTGCTTTCTCCTCTTATCCAGTCCTTTCTTGCAGCATTTTATCACTTCCTGCCCCAAACACGCACGCATCTTTCTATTCTATTAGACTCAAGTTCTTTCCGGGCTGGATGTGTGTTCAATTCTTTTTTTAGTTTCCCATATTGCCTAGCAGTATGCCCAGTGCATCAAAGGTCCTCAATCAATATACATTGATTACACAGATTGATCCTAAGTTCAGAGCAACTAGAATTGTTGTTCAAACTGCCTTTCAAGAATGGTAGGCAGAAACCCTGGATGGCAGAAATATGGCTGCTGCCGCTGTCTCCACCCACATGCAGGGCAGACATTAATAATGGATCCCTGCACTCCTTCCTGCTGCACCTGGATGTGACCTCACTGTCCTTCTCAGCTGGACACTCTAGGAACCCATTGTCAGTCTATAGATGTGGGCACAAGAGATGAAACTCATGACTTTTAAGGATCTAAAATTAATATTATTTCTCTGAGCAACCCTGAAGACCTATAATACTTATGAATTTGTAATTTTCCTAAAGCACAAACTTGGTATAGATATATGCTACAAGATGAGTGTGAGGAAACAACTGTCTTTTTGTTAGCCACTCAGAGGATGCATCTCTCAGTGCATGAATGCAATAACTTCCCTGTTGCATTCTTTAAAATTGCTATTCATCACCTTCATCTTAGTCTTGAAAATTTAAATAAGTTCTTAGTAAACGTTACCATAAAAATGATATGATGTAGGGTGGAGCTTATTTCAGTGGGAGAATGTAGTAACTTTACTAATTATTCCAACCCTGTATCTACAGAATTATTAAGAATCAAGGTGGATTATCAAAATGTCAATTTATTATATTTTATGGTAGAAATTTATGCTACTGTATTAGAAAATGACCTCAAAGCATGTGTTTCATTGAGGTAGTTAATTTTATGAGTCAATGTGACTGCACCAGGGGTGTCTATCATAAATATTATTTCCTGGTATGTCTTTGAGAGTATCTCTGGATGAGATTAGCATTTGAATAGGTGAATTTAGTAAAGTAAACTGCCGTCCCCAATGTGGTTGGGTATCGTTCAATCTGCTGAGGGCCAGAATAGAACAAAAAGGTGGAGGAAGGAGGAATTCACCTCTTTTGCTTCCTGACTGCCTGCTAGAGCCCCAGCTCATGCGTCTTCTCCTGCTGTCGGACTGGGATTTACACCCTTGGCTCCCCTGGTTCTCAAACCTTAGAAGTAGAACTAGAATTTCACCACTGGCCATTCTGGGTCTCAGCATGCAAACAGCAGACTGAGAGACTTTTCAGCTTCCGTAATTGTGTAAGCCTATTCCTCACAATAAATGTCTTTCTGTATGTATAACCTGTTGGTTCTGTTTTTCTTGTGAACCCTGCCTAATACACCTATTGTGAATATCAATAGTAGCTTTGGATTTAGGCAAACCTTGGAAATCTTAGTCTTTTGTGAAACTCTCTAGGCATAGTAAAGGTACAGCCAGAATGATGAGGAGTTGCAGCAAGTTGGCCAGAACTGATATCGGTAACTGCTCTGAGGCAGCCCATGTCTTGGGGTATGCAGTTAGGACACACATAGGGGACTTCAAAAACACACAAGCTAAGGAACTCCAGGACACACACCAGTACATCACTGTAGAGGTTAAATTGTGCCTTGACTGCCAGTAACACAAAATCCTGACAGAGACTATGTTAAACAATAAGGAAATTTATCATATCACACAGCAAGAAGTCCAGAGGTACAGTGGGCTCAGGATTGATTACTCAGTGATTTTGTCAAGAACTGAGATTTTTTTCCTTCTTTTGCTCTGCATCCCACGTCGGCCCCCATCACAAGCACAGGGTGACCAAGGAAGTTGATCACAACAACCCCATTAGGTATGTGCTATCATTAACCCTATTTAACAGGTGAGGAAGTAGAGGCAGGAAGCTTAAGTAACTTTCCTGATGATATGCAGCTAGTTGGCAATGGACCTAGCATTCTAAACCAGTCAATCCACTCCAGAGTCTGTGCTGTCAACCTTGAAGCTCTCTATACTACAAGAAAACCTTTCCAAAAGTAACCCGGAGACTTTTCTTTATGTTTCATTGGCCAGAATTGAGTCACATGGCCACTTCTAAACCAATCACTAACAAGCATAGGATTACAAAAGGGGCTAAACCAATTAAGATTTATCACTGAATTGGAGTTCTATAACTTTGGGAATAAAACCAGGGTTCCATTCCCAAAGAAAGGGAATGGACATACAGCATGGAACCAGCATTGTCTGTTATGAGGGGCTGCCTACAAACAATCCAGTTTCACTAATTCCATTTCCTCTGCTTTCATAAGTTAGGATAGCATGTGATGCCAGTTATCCATGCATGTATCTGCGCTTCCTCCAACTTGCTTGCAAGCACCCCCTAGACAGGAACAAATCTCACACATCTGCATATTCCCCACAGGGCCCAGCATAGAGCCTCACACATTGAAAGTGTTCAAGAAACGTTTGTTCATTGTAATTGAATTTTCATTCTCAGGTCTACTTAATTGGAGAGGTCAACAGTTGGCCATGCTCTAGGCAGGCAGATAATACATTTTCACATTGATCTTGCAATCAAATGAATTTTGAAAAATTTTCCTTGCCATGCAAAATAGCATGAAATCACACATTAATATAGGTCAGTGCAAAAGCCCAAACTTAGTAAATTGTTAGTGTCTTGCACTCAACACCCTTGAAGGTAACACATTAATGTCACATTTTTATTATGACTTGACAGTTCTATATTCAAAGAGACACATCGGAAAGCCATAGACAGAGCAGGCTACGTTATTTGTAGGGCTCAGTTCAAAAAAATGTGGAGCCCTGGTGGGGTGGGATGGGTCAATCACTCCTTTTCATGGTCCTATTGCTCCAATCCACAGTGGCCAGGTGACACCCAAGAGATTGCAACCTACCAATACCTGGATTTGGGGTGGGCAAGAGGGCCTCACAGAGTTGCCTACCGAACACACTGTGACACTACCAGCCCTTGGCAGGGACTGGCATTGTCTTGTCCCACTCTTGAAGCAGCAGGACACATGTCTGGACACGACCATTCCTGTGCCTGTGCTCAGACCCCCACTGGGGCCAGAGTGCAACAGCAGAACTCAAGCCCCACCACCACCAGCGCAACTTGGTTGCTGCAACAGTCAAGGGGCAAGAGCAGGGAAGGGGAGGCCAGGCAGGGCCCAGGGTTTGGCACATGGATGAAAACTCATCCCAGAGAGGCAGCCAGGGAGCAGGACCACCCATGAGCTGGGGCTTTAAGTCTCTGGCTTATGCTCCATTGGCCCATCATACTTCATATACAAATGCAAATTTAAAGATATAATTATTAAAGATTTCAAGACAGTGACCACAGAGCACTAAACCTTACACACTTCTGAGCAGGGAACCCTGTGTGATTGTACCGATCACATGCCCTAGCCATACATCCTTGTTTAAATTGAATATCCATATGTGGAGAAGATAAACACCATTCAAGAAGTGCTATCATTTCAAAAGCTTATTGAATGAATGACCTTATCTAATGGAATGAGGGAAGACATTGGCAATGAGAAGAGTAATTGCTCACTGCACAAGTATCCATCCTATATGACTCCATTTAGCTTTTCCTCCCTTAACTGTATGCCATGTTGACTTAGGACTTTATCTTGTAGGCAGGTACTAAGGAGCCATTTTTTAAGTGGAGGAATGATCTAATCCGATTTGTATCTCTTTGGTGGCAGAGGGAGGAGGGAGGAGGGAGTCAAGGAAGTAGAGACTATAGGTAGGCAGAGCAACCCAATTCTAGATCAACTGTTATGGAAAGTGACATTGTAGCATGGTGGTTAGAAGGTGCAGGCTCTTTAATTAGACATACGTGTGTTCAAATCCTAGTTCTGCCATTTAGGAGAGACATAAACTTGGGCCAGACACTTGCTCTCTCTAAGCTTCAGTTTCTTTATCTGCTAAAAGTAATAACGGTAGGATTCTTATGAGGGTTGAATGAATAATAGCTAGGATTCTTGTGAAGGTTGAATGAAATGATATATATGAAGCACTTATATTCAATGAGCCCAGCTCATTGAATGTAGCTGTTATCATATGAAATGGATTATTTGTTTCTCTTTCCCTCTTCATGATTATACACTTTCTAAAACCACTGTTTCCAACACAAAAGAAGAGGGACACATGCTTAACCCCCATCAGCCAGTCTCTCTTCCCTCTGCAGCCTGCAATTCTTTAAGAGCAGAAGGGGTGACTATTTATTCCTTCCCTTACTTCATAATCTTATCTTCTATCTAAGGAGGGCAGCTGCAAAATTTAGGCATCAAATATGGAGTGACATCTTATCCACGTTATAGGAGAAACTTCTGGCTGAATCCCTAATATATGAAAAGAATTTAGAAAAATCTACTCACCATACGTGGCTTCATTTTAAACATATTGTCTTGCTACATAAATCACCTCATTCATTTATGCATTCCTTCATTTATTCATCCTCTACTGCCCTGGGCCAAAAAGCCTATGTAAAGGAAGAACTAAAGGATGATGATTTTTTAAAAAAGAAATAAAAACACATTAGTTTAATATTTATAGTATGTCATCCTCATGGAAAACATAATTCATTATTGTTAAAATGTAATAAGGAAAGTAATGAAAATCCCACGTGTAGGTAACTTATCAGGACATAAACAATTTGGAGGAAACAACAAATGCAGTTATACACTGGAAGCACCAACGGCTGTTGGTATAGTTTCCCAGGTATTAGGAATACCCAGAAATCAGAGTGAAAGGATGTGTTCATCAAAACAAAAACTCCAGAACCAAGTCCTTCCAACAGTGGAGGGGCTAAGAGCACGAGTTTTGAATCAGTCAAACCAGGTTCACACACATGTGGAGAGGGGGAGATGTAGGGATTAAACTGACAACAGCTGCGGAGGGCTGTCCTGGGCACTTAACTGCGGGTCCATTAAGCGATGGTCAGATAGGGAACAGGTGTGATGCTCCATGATCTCCTGGGCCCTCGTAGTCATTTGGAGATGTTGGTGCTGAACTAGGGCAGCACCAACATGGAGATACAGGTGGTCTCGAGAGAGCTACTCCTCAAACTTTGGTGTGCATATAAATCACCTGAAGATCTTGTTAAATGTAGAGTCTGGATCAGTAGGTCTGGGGTGTGGCTTGAGATTCTGCATTGCTAATAAGCTGCCTAGTGAGGCCAGTGCTGCTAGCCATATATCACACTTTGAGTAGCAAGGGAGTGTGTTCTGTTCAACTCTCCTGTTGTGACAACCATTACAACCCTCACCCCCTTTTTATTAAAACTTGCCTTCTTGTTCTCTTTTTTTTTTTTTCCTCAAAGCACTGCCATGTTCTTAATCCTGAACACCAGAGGTGTAATTTCAGAAAAGAATAGGCACAAATTTTTACCGTATTTGACACATCAGCTAATCCATTGGCACGCCATTGGTTGCAGAGTGCTCTGTACTGTTCCAATCCCGGGAGCATCCAGAAGACTGTGTCCCAACCCTCAAAGAAATAAAAATCGTCTGTGAATATTCACCAGTAATCACTTATTGAGTGCCTTCTATTAGGATAAGAAAACTCACCGGGAAGACCAAAGCCATTGATTCCTTATTTAACCTAAGTCTCGGTTTTCTTATAAACGTGGATACTAACACACATCTCAAAGACTTACTTCATGGGTGAAGTGAAATGAACCTCAAGCTGCTAATAGTTGCTTAGTTGGTGAATGGTTGCAGTCATCTCCTTTAGTTCCATAGGGTTGTGGTATAGACTTCATGAGTAGAAGGAGTTTCAAAAGGGGAAATCTTTTGATCCTCTACGATCTGAGGCCATCTCTGTTGAGATACAGGGAAGTACTCAGGATTTCAGGGGTCTTTCAGGAACCCAGATTCCTAAGAGGCACCCAGACCTGGTGGAGCCACACCCCTCTGTGAGTCATACTCTGAGATCAGCAGACCTGCCCGGTGGTCTCAGGTTCTTCAGTAAAACAGAGTCCCAGCTCGAGGTGCTAGTTTCCACTGAATTCTCAGTGGAAATCAGTCTCATTCTACCAAGCAGATTTTTTCTGTCCCATCTGTGAAACCTGTTCTATTCCTGGTTAGGAAGTATCCAGAACCCTAATCCAGTGTACAAGTAACTCTGTCCCAAGTCAGCTGCTTGGCCTGTTCTCACCTGGTGCTCCAGTTTTCATAAATCTCTGTGTTGTGCATGGAATCCAGGTCTCTGCTTTGTACTTGTATCTGATTACTGGGTCTCTTTCTTTCCCATTTGATTTTTAATATTTATGGAGTGCTTCCTCCCAGGTAGACATTGT